GGGTGGGGTTTTCCCTTCTTTGAGGTTGTTTGCCCCTTTTTTTTCTCCATTTTTTCCTCCCCCGGTCCCGCCCCCAAAAACCGGAGGGGTTTTTTTTGAAAAAAAAAAAACCCGGCCGGGGCCAAAATTTTTGTGGCGGGGAAGGGGGGGGGGGGTTAAAAAAAGGGTTTTATTGGGGGAAAACCCCCCCGGGCCCCGTTCGGGGATTCTGGGGGGAGGAGCCCAAAAAGAAAACCCAAAATCCCATGGGGCAAAGGGGGTGGATTTTTTTTCCCACCCCCCCCCCCCCCCCCCCCCTCCAACGACAACTTCGACTCGGAGTTTGAGCAGGAAATCAACTCGTGGGCAGAGGAAAACGTTGAAAGATCTCAGAGGGAACGTAGTGATGTAGACGGGTTGCAGGGAGAGTTCACACGAGAAGAGGTAGAGGACTGCGTAGCGAAACTCAAGAATAGAAAAGCGGCAGGGGCTGATGGAATTGTGAACGAGCTTTTGAAACAGGGGGGGGAGGGGATGATTAACATGTTGGTCCGGATATTCAACTGGATATGGAAACACGAGTACGCGCCGAAGAGATGGAGAGAAGGAGTAGTCGTGAACCTGTTCAAAAAGGGGGATAAAGCTGACCCGGGGAACTATAGAGGGATAACCCTGTTGAGCACAGTGGGGAAACTGTTTGGCAAGATGATAGACAATAGAATGGGAGACATGTTGGAGGGGAAACAAAAGATCAGCGAAGGACAAGCTGGATTTAGACCAGATCGCAGTTGTGTAGACCATGTATATACGTTGAGTAAAATCATCCAAGGTAGGAAAGACGCCGGGCGTACGACATACTGTTTCTTCCTCGATATACAAAAAGCCTACGACACCGTATGGCGCAATGGATTGTGGAAAAAGATGTGGGACATCGGCATCCGGGGGAAAATGTGGAGGATGTTGAAAAAGATGACAGAATGCACAAGAAGTGCGGTGATGTTGGATGGGGAAATTTCGAAGTACGTGGATATACTCCAAGGAGTCGCACAGGGCTGTACGATGTCACCCACTCTTTTAAGATTTACATCAACGATTTGATAAGGGCGGTTGAAGCAGTAAGACAGGGAGTCCAAGTAGAGGGAAAGAGTGTGTCCGGACTGATGTTTGCAGATGATTTCGTGGGGGTATCCGAAACACCAGAAGGGTTGCAAGAACAAATAGATGCGGCGGTAGGATACACCCGAAAATGGAGACTGTCGGCGAACGTAGGAAAATGCGCAGTAGTGGTCTGTAACGAAGATAAGAAAAATCCCGTAGAATTCAAATGGAAATGGGGGGAGGAAGAACTACCGGTAGTAGACAAGTATACGCCTGGGAGTAGAGATTTCGAAGGAGTGCTCATGGGACGCACACATAGCGAAGTTGATTGGGAAGAGTAAAGCTCAGATAGGCAAGATGGACGAGATCCTTACGGACCCACACCTAGACACTAGGATTAAGAGGTGTATTCTCTTGAAGGTGATTGTACCTAAGCTAGAGTATGCAGGAGAGATATGGGAAGGTAACGAAAAGGCCGTCAAGCAGCTGGAAACGGTGCAGATGGCAGCGGCCAAGAAAATACTAGGATGTTCAAGTACAACGAGCAACACTGTATTGAGAGCAGAATTGGGAATGTACTCTCTTAAAACAAAGAGAGACATGCAGAAGTTGAATTGGCAGTACAAGGTAAGTAGAATGTCGGACGATAGACTACCAGCCATGGTTGACGAGGCAGCTTGGGGAAAAGCGACTCCAGGGAAGAAGGGAATCAGATGGGACAAGGTGGTAGAGAAGGTTTGGAAGGAGATAGGAGACGAGGAGGAGACGTTGGACACGGAAGGGTTCGGGGGGTTCAAGACGAAAGTCAAGGAGATGCTAGAGAGTAGGGAGGAGGCAACCCTTCGGAAGAAGGTACGAAGCGAAGACCACTTGGAGATATACGGGAAGCTGAAAGAAGGGATAGGGATGAAGAAGTACTTGGACGGCCCCATGGACTATGCGAAAAAGCTGAAATTGCAATTTCGAGTTGGCGATCTGGACTTGCCAGAACGGAGGAAGAGATATACCAGCCGTAGGAGAGAGGAAGAGGAGGATAGACACACATGTCCATGTGGCAAATCGGAGGAGAGTAGACCCCACATAGTTGGGGAGTGTGAGTTGTACAGGAAGGAAAGAGAGGATCTCGAGGAGGAAATGAGACAGAGAGGGTGTGACATGGACAAGTTTGGTAAATTAGACAACAGCGAAAAAACGATCGCGATAATTGGGGATAGATGGTGGGCACAAGAGGCCCTAGAGGACGGGGATAAGATGTGCAAGAAATTTTTATGGAGTTTGTGGCAGAAACGTAAAGAGCTCCCAAATGTTGGTGGTGTCTCTAGTAGGGGTAGGAACGGTGCTCCGTCTCGAAAGGGACGCGTGGTCAATGGTCAAATGACTACGGCAAGCAACAAATGAGTACGCCCCCCCCCCCCCCCCCC